TTGAAGCATATGGATCCTCCTCCCTTGCTTTTCCCCAGCATAACCCCCCTTTCCTTTTCAATTAAAAAAAGCATATAAATCAAAAGGATTCAATTTGGATTATTCTCAAATTGATTACAACAACAACAAGCCTTATCTCAATAGATGGGGTTGGCTACATGAATCACACGACATCATTATGCTCTGTCAATAACTCAGTCCTTAGATATATTGTTGACTAGAAGGTTTCGTTATCATTCTCAAATTGATTGTGAAGAAGATAAGTGCGAATGTTAGGAATGGATTTGGCAGAGAGGCAATGAAGAAGGGAAGAGTAAGGGGGGAAAAAGTCAAAGGGTACATAAACACAAAAAGAAAAAGGTTATGGCAGGAAAAGAATTTTTTTTTTGTTGGGGGGGGATAGAGTAGACTGCGTGCCCCAGAGAGAGGGAGAGGGAGAGAGAGAGAAGAATGAAAGGGGCATGCAGACGCGATGCAGAGAGAAGATGGGGAATGGGTTCTGCAACTGCATAGAGCTATGCATGTAGGCGCGGCAGATTTACACGATTTACACGATTGTTTGTTTGGTGGGGCACATAACGCTTTTTCAACTGTTTTTTAATCTGTTCAAATCTAATAATTTATATATTATTATAATATGAGATCGAATGGAAATAAAGTATTTTTTTTATGACGAACTAATAAATTTATTTTTATCATGACAAGTGTGGTATTGAATTATTCTAATTTAAATGCTACCTCAAACCGTCAAACACACGAATTTCTGGCAATAAACCATACCCATATGGTGACAATGAATGAAGACTTTTATCTTGCTTTTGAATATATCATACAAATGCACAATACAGAATAATTAACGGTGAAAGTGTAAATTTGTCCTGAAATTTTTTATTAATTTTGAGTGCAAATTTATTTTAAATATTTAAAATTATGATAATATTGCTCTTTATCATTAAAAAATTAATAGTATTTATTAAAATGATAGCATTGATCGTTAATATTATTAACAGTATGAGAACACTATTGTTATGATCTGAATTTGCACATTAACCCATAAATATAATATATGCAACAAAGTATAGAATGTGAAAGTTTATTTGATACTATAAATGAAAGAGAAAAATAAAAAATAAATTTATTTGATAAAATTTAATGTTCATGCCCCTTTTTATTTAAAAGAAACATTTAAAACAATGAGAATATACTGAGAACTGGAAAATAGTAACCCTACAATGTTTTTTTTTCTTCTTTTTGGGGAATACCTTATAATGTTTTCTATTACACGATTATTTTTCCAAAAGCGGACCAAATGGGGCAGAAGACTGGCCTTTGTGATGCGATTGAAATGAAAATGAATTAAAGGAAACTCACAGCCAAATAAGTTGATGATAAATTAATGAAATATTAAATTATCTTATTGAGTACTACTCAAAACATAAATTTAAAGAAATTCTTGAGAAATAAAAAAAATTTCTTTTTTTTCCCTTTGGACCAGCGAAACAAAAAATTTTCAAAGTGCATGTAAATCAACCAAAGTTTGCTTAATTAGCGTTGACGGTCGACCTTGTAAACTGTTGAAGCCAACAAAATTTGAAGACTTTTCAAACCCAAAACCAAAATTTAATTTCTAAGATTCCATTCATTTATCAATCAAACTCATCATGGCAGCACCGACTTTGAATTGTCTTTCTTTCTTTTCTTTTTTTCTTTAAAATCAATCAAACTAGCTTATGTTCATGAATTGATACTTTATTTTTGTCTCTCTCTCTATACAGTACAAAAAAATAGCATATTAGTAACGGAATTTAGTGACGGAATTTTAATCCCTCACAAATTCTGTCACTAAAATTAGCGATAGAATTTAGTGACGGAAAATTTCCGTCGCTAAATTAGTGAAAGATTAGTGACGAAATTTTATTTCGTCACTAACTTAGAGAAGAATTAGTGACGGAATCTTATTCCGTTACTAAATTCTGTTACAAGTCCGTCGCTAATTTTGTATTTGGCTAATATTGAAAAACAGCAAGGGAATCTTATTTTGCATTTGGCTAATATTCCCATCATAAAACATTCAAAGGTTTATAACCGCTTAAGAGAATAATACTAACTTCAATTCTTAATATAAGAGCTAGTTGATTAATTTGAATAGATTAAGAAAATAATTAAGTTAGTTATTTATAATAAATAGATATTGTCTTTTAAAATATTCTCGTTAATCAAGTGTATTAGCTAGAACAACCATTATTTAAGAAACTACCCTTAAAAAATGGATATATATAAGATATAAATAAATTGGAGTCTTTATTTATGATCAAAATAAAAATTAAATAAGCTCTTATATTAAGAACTATTTCTTTTGGTCCTAAATGGTAAAGCTAAATCACTAATTTATTATATATCAAACAAATTTATTAAATTATTTATTTGCAATAACTATGTTTAATTTTTCAAAAATCCTTTTGGTCATTATCTCAGGAATAAAAATTCTCTTAATATGCAATCAATAACTTAAAAATTTTTTATAAATTTTAGAGACAAAAGATATTGAGATATCAATTTAAGAGTTAACTCTTACATTTACAACTATGGCAAGAATATTGAAAAACGTCCCTTGCTGTTATTTTTTCTGCAATTCTTTGCATCCTCTCACACAAACTTTTCGGAACCCCTAGTTGTCCAAGTAAGTTGTGCTAAATCAACACCTTGTATTTTTTGGGTCTTCCATTTTTTTTGACCTGAGGGGTTTTCCAATTTAACACCTTAGATTCCAAGTATATACGAATTTTTAAAAGATATATTCACCACATAATTTGGGATGCCCTTGTATGACGGCTCGTTGAACGGTTTCGTTTAAGACCCTCTTTTTAATTATGACCATTTGATTATTTGAATTAACTTGGTTGAAGTTGTTTTGAAGGATTTGAAAATTGGGAGGAAAATGGGGGCAAAAAAAAACAGTATGAATGAGCTTCTATATATATAGATAGACATATATATATATATATATAAATACATACTTGAAAATTATTTTTTGGGAGAAATTGGCGGGTTCAAGCACTTGTTATACTTTTTTTTTTTTGGTCCTCTTTCGTATTTAAAATATTTCATTGACCCTTATTTTTTATTGGATTTTAATGATGTCAAATGAAACAGTAAAACACAAAACTGGTAAAATAGGGAGGAGGAAAAATTAAAGAGAAGATGTTGTTATCTCTTTTGTTTAGATAGACAAGAGAAAATAGAAATAAAAAATGAGCAAATATCTAAATAACTAAAATATTCTTATCAAAATATATCATATTGAAAATTAAATCAAATTAAATATTGCAATAGGAACATTATACTAACATTAACATTATCAAGTAATTTAAAATCAAGTTATTGGTTTGTATATATATTCATATTATCATATTGTAAAACCAAATTATTTAATAAAAAGTGAATAATCTTTTGAATATAATAAAAAAATAAATATGGAGAGGAAAAGAGAGGAGGGACAGTCACAAAATCTTATTTTTCTTCCCAGACCTCTCAATATATAAAGAGAAAATTTGAAGAGCAAATGAGACGCGTGGCCTATTTTATTTTCTCCCCCACTTTTCTACTTTGCTTGAATGGGAAGAAAAGTTGGGAGGAAAGAAAACAGGAGGAGAGGAATAGAGAGAAGAAAAAAGTAGATAGAACATGTTATCAAAAAACTAGAGAGAAGATGTTATTATCATCTTGCTTGGATAGATGAGAGAAAAATAGGGGGGAAAGAAAATGAATAAATATCTAAATAACTAAAATACCCTTATCAAAATATATCATATTTAAAATTAAATCAAATTAAATATTGCAATAGGAATATTATACTAACGTCAGCGTCATCAAATAATTTCAAATCAAATTATTTGGTTTATATATATTTTCATAGTATTATATTTTAAAAGCAAATTATTTAATAAAAAATATTCTAGTAAGATTAAAAAATAAAAAAATGAATTGATTTTTTAAATGTAATAAAAAGAACATAAATGTGAGAGGAAGAGAGAGGAGGGACAATCAAGAAAATCTTGTTTTTCATCATGAGTCTCTCCATATTTGGAGAGAAAATGAGATATGGAGTCTATCTTATTTTTTTCTCACTTTTTCTTCCTCCCATATTTTCTCTCCTATCTAATCCTAAAATATTGTGCCTGTGATGAATTGGTGGATACATGTATGAATTAAATGAATTTCGTTAGGATGAGGATCAATTGAATTGGAATCGATTTTGAAATAATTCATTACATTGATATTTAGAAAACTCAGTTCTCCTTATATTTTCCCCTCTAGTTTTCTTTCCTCCCTAATTTTATTTTAATCCAAGCAAGGGGTTCCTTCCTCTCATATTTTCTCTCATATCCAAGTAAGAAAAAAAACTGATTTCTCTCCATATTTTTTATCTAATTTCTTTTCTCTCTAATTTTCTCTCAATGCGAATAAGGGGTAAAAAAACGAACAGAAGAATTTATAAACTTACAAAAAAAGGGGTCACGATGTTGTTATGGGCTAAAATGCTTTTAGGCCCAAGGTTTTCATGAGAGGACACGCCTAGTTGAATGTTAACGTTAAGTAATAAAGCAATTGAGGCTTGTGTTTTGCATGGTCATATTTTCAATTTTAAGAGTTTGGCAAAAACAAGAAAAAAATTGTTGAGAGTTTAAAATTTGAAATAAAATCATTTTGCTTATTTTAAATTCCTGCTTGCAGCATTATTCTGAACAATCATATATCGATCATAAAGTCTGGAAGTAGAAAGTGATTTTCACATATTTATAAAAACCTAAAATCCTTTAATAGAACAAGAACAAACTAAAAGTTTCTTTAAATCATTAATTAAATGAGAAAGGTTGAATGGTTGATAATTAATTCAAATAACATAAGTTGATGACATGTCTGTACCAGAAAGAAAAAAAAGTTGCTAATACGTGGAAAATTTTATTCACATGATGATCAAATAGTGCATAGCATACAAATGAAGGCAAATCACTTGAAATTCATTAAAACAAAAGGGAAAGACAATCATTAAAATATACAGTACATTACATTCCAATCACTGACAAGACATTTAAGAAACATGAAATAATAACCATAGTGGAAACATGGAAAAAAAGATGACACAATATATCACACGAAGCCACATTTTGTGCCTAATTCACTCTTTGATTCTGATGGGCTCTTTTCCTTGTCCTTTTTGCTTGTTTCTTAGGCCTGGCTTGAAAAATTCTGACAAGCCCTTTAGGTTTTCCGGTTAAGAAAATAACTTGACCCATGAATATTCCAAACACCATCCCACATCCATATCCGAAAGCCACTGGTTTCCAACCAAATCCAAATTTGTCATTACTTGACGAAGTTGGTTGTGGTAATTTCCCTTCATCATGATTACATGCTTTTGACAATTGAAATCCACACAGTCCTAAATTTCCCTCAAAAGAATGTTGTGAAAATGTAGCAAACTGCTTACCTCTTGGTATTTCTCCGACAAGTTGATTTTGTGAAAGATTCAAAACTTCAAGAAAGTTGAGATCTGCTAGTGCAAGAGGAATCTCACCTTTAAGCAAGTTTGATGATAAATCCAACGATTCTAGGTTTGTCAAGTTTGCAATGGATTGAGGAATCGGACCAGTGATTTTGTTGTGGGAGAGATTAAGCCCCTTAAGTGAATGCAGCTCACCAATAACATGTGGAATCTCTCCATCAATCATGTTTTTTGACAAATCAATGGATGTGAATGTAGTTATGATCTTTACCAACTCCAAATCAACACCTTTCAATGTGACCATCACTGATTCTTGATACTGATAAGATGCATTACGGATTTCCAAGTAATCTAGTGTGGTTGAAACAAAGTCAACATTCATCATTCCTTTAAATTCCTTGATGTATGTTATTGGCAAAGATCCTATAAAACGGTTGTTGGAAACATCGAAAATTCTTAACATGGGAAAAGGATGTTTGGTGTGGGAACTATGAATGGCACCATAGAACTTATTATCTCTTAAAATGAGTACCTGTAGCTCTGGTAAGCCTTCAAGCCAATCAGGAAATTTGTCGTTGATCTTGTTTGCTCCCACATCTAAAAGTTGTAATTGCTTACAATGGGTCAAAGACAAAGGCAACCGTCCCTCAAATTGATTGTTGTTCAAATGCAAAGATTCCAAATAATTGCTTCTAGAAAAATTGTCCGGTATAGATTCAACAAAATTATTCATCTGCAGATCTAAACTCTCAAGGGGAGAGCAAAAAGGCACTTTGGGATGTGGCCTGACAAGTTGTTGTGGGATAAGATGAGTATCTCAAGTGAGCTTGCATTGCAAAATGAGGAAGAAATGTGTCCATTGAATTTGTTGTTGGACACTGAAAAGAATTTAACATCAAAGGATGGAATTGGGAGATTTCCTGGCAACAAGTTGAAGCTGAGATCAAGAAACCTCAAGTTTCTCATTGAAAGATGTTTAGCTGATGTCAAGTTATTATGAGAGAGATCCAAAGCATCCAAAGAACCATTCCCTACGTTATTGAACCATTGGGGAATATCTCCATGAATTTTGTTATTAGAAAGATATAACCCCTTCAAATTTTGAAGGCTTCCTAATTGTTTAGGAAAGTCATTGATGTTGCAAGAGGACAGATCTAACTGTGTAAGATTGGGAATGGTATGGTAAACATCATTATTAGAGCTAAGTGAGAGAAACTTGTTGTTTGAAAGATTAAGATATTGTAGATTTTGAAGCTTTGAGAATTGATGAAGACTAATAGGGCCTCTCAAATTATTTGATGACAGACTTAGATGGGAAAGATTTAGGAAACCAAAAATTGACTCAGGAAAACCTTGCAACTTATTATCATCAAGATTCAATTGCCACAAATTTGGAAGGCCAATGAATTTCGGAAGGATAGTGATATGACAAGAATCTAAATATAAGACCTCAAGATTAGGAATGGTGTAGTTAAGATTATTATCAAAGGTAAGTGAGAGAAACTTGTTGCTTGAAAGATGAAGATATTCTGGATTTTGAAGCTTGAAAAATTGGTAAAAATTAACAGAGCCACTCAAGTTATTTGATGATAGTCCCAAATAAAAAAGATTTATGAGAGTAAAAATTGACTCAGGAAAATTACCTTGCAGCTTGTTGTCAGATAAATCAAGAAATTTCAAATTTGAAAGATTTACAAACACATCTGGCAACAAACCACTAAAATAATTGTCACTGAGGTGCAATGAAGTAAGACTTGACATATTTGAAAGAAATGAGAGCTCACCACTAAAATGTTAAGTGAAAGGCCCAAATAAGTTAATTGAGTGAGGTTCTCAAATTTACAGGGATACGCCCATGAAATTTGTTATCCAAAGATGCAAAAAATCAAGGGACTTCAAATGGCCTATGGAATTTGGTAAGAGACCACTAAAATAATTGCCACTAAGGTCCAATGAAGTGAGACTTTGAAGATTTGAAAGAAATGAAAGCTCACCACTAAAATTGTTTTCTGCAAGGTGCAAATCAGTTAGTTGAGTGAGGTTCCCAAAACTTGTAGGAATAGGCCCATAAAATTGGTTACCCGAAGACCCAAAAAATCAAGAGACTTCAAATGGCCTATGGAATTTGGTAAGAGAACATTAAAATAATTGTCACTGAGGTCCAATGAAGTGAGACTTTGAAGATTTGAAAGAAATGAAAGCTCACCACTAAAATTGTTTTCTGCAAGGTTCAAATCAGTTAATTGAGTGAGGTTCCCAAAACTTGTAGGAATAGGCCCATGAAATTGGTTCTCTTGAAGACCCAAAAAATTAAGAGACTTCAAATGGCCTATGGAATTTGGTAAGAGACCATTAAAATAATTGGCACTAAGGTCCAATGAAGTGAGACTTTGAAGATTTGAAAGAAATGAAAACTCACCACTAAAATTGTTTTTTGCAATGTTCAAATCAGTTAATTGAGTGAGGTTTCCAAAACTTGTAGGAATAGGCCCATCAAATTTGCAACGTTTAAGACTCAAAATATTAAGCGACTTCAAAGACAAGGAGCTTGGTGTAATGGAAGACATATTTACATCATCTAAAACAAGTTCTCTCATATCAGTCATGTTTAGAGCAAGCTTCTCCCAAGTGGATGGTTCAAGTCTTAAACTCAACCCTTCAAATCCATTCATAGACAAATCAAGAGAGACCAACTTAGACAATTCTGCAATTTCAGGAGAAATTTCACCAGCAAAAGCAGAATAGCTTAAGTTTAGATGCATCAGAGTGGAAAGACTACCAAAATGAGATGATATCATAGACCCACTAAAATTGTTGAGCCATGTTGAGTGTTTGGAGATGAGAAAGTTGGAAGAGGCTATTGTTCGGATGGAGTTGACCTTGGATCCAACTACAAGTAAGATCAAGGCCAATCACATGACCAGAAATGGAGTCACACGTGATCCCATCCCATAGGCAACAGTTTGAATCATTTCCCCACGAAGTTGTCTTTGGGTAAGATGAGTTCTTAAACTTCATAGTATAACTATTATCATCATCATGAAACTCATCACACTGCATTGAAGCAGAATGATTAAGAGAGAGAGTTTTTAAAATGAAAAAGCGCAATGGAATCATGAGAATTACATAATGGGGGGTTGAGAGAAGAAAGGGAAGGAGAAAGAAGGAACAAGCAGAAACAGATGGTGATTCGAAATGCCATGAGCGAAGTTAGAAGGCTAAGAATATCAAGGAGTGAAGGATATGGTATCTAACATATGAGGCTTCTTTTATAGGCAAAGCTACGCACGATAAAAGGTTTGTCATAATAACTTGCTAGTATACAGGCCCTTACGTTGGGAATATTATTCTATTTAAAGCTATAATACAAAGAAATATTATATTATGAGTAAGGGCTACAGTGATGTTATCAGCAAATCTGTTTGTCATGACCAACATGTCTTGTATTTAATTCTTATAATTCCTAATTGTAAATAGAATTATAAGCCTTTTTTTCCTACCATAACAGAATTATAAGTGAAGTCTTTTATTTCTATTATTTCACGCGTAATACATTCACTGACATGTTGGTCATGACAAACAGATTTGCTGATAACATCACTGTAGCCCTTACTCATAATATAATATTTCTTTGTATTATAGCTTTAATATAGAATAATATTCGCAAGGTAAGGGCCTGTATACTAGCAAGTTATTAAAAAAATTACTTTTGCAAAAAATAATTAAACTAATTTTATTTATTATTAAAAATAAAAGAAAAAATTGCGCTACCCAATTTTATTTTGTAGTAGGCTTACGTATTACGTATATCTTTTAAATGGAATAGAAATTTTTATAATTAAGGAAAATAAAAATAAGTTCATTATATCATATATATCGAGAGAGGGGCAGAGGCTACCAAGAAGGCTACCAAGAAAAAAGTTATGTTTCCTTGGACATTAAAAAAAATGAAAGACTTATTAAGAGAATTAACTTTAAAAAAAATCTATTTTACATTTTACAACAGAATATTCCTCTCATATACTTATTTTGAAAATATAAATTCACTTAAAATAAATTAATTCAAATATTCACTTGACTAAACAAATGGTCCTCGCAACACGACGAACGTGCTTGACTGAACGAACGTTGATTAAACTTTTCCAAAAATTTGTGGTGAAACGTTTTGAAAATTAGTGTTCATATATAATTTAATAATTACTAATATAGTCAAGAAATACGGAATTTTGTGAGGTTTGTCAATTTTCAATTTGATAATTATATTTTATGCTAAAATCAAAAACAGTTTCAATTAAGAACTTGAACAAAGTGAAATATGAGAGACCTTATAACATACTCTTTTGAAAAAGTAATTAAATTTCAAAATTAGTATCCTGATCCTTAACATAAGACCCAGTTACATAATTACATGTTATATAATTTCTCTAAAATACTTATATATATCATTACATTATATATTAATTTATAAAAGTAACAAGATAAATATAAATATATTATGGTAATTTATTAACTTTCTCAATCTCCTCAAACAAATTAATTAAATCTTATATTAAGGATCAGAGGTAGTATTTGAATACAAGGACGGCGGGAAAAATATAAGAGATTGCCATATTATCCAAAAAAAAATTGGCATCATTTTTTTGTCAGATTTTTTTCGGCTTTATTTGAATGGCGTGCTAAAAGGTTTGGAAGTGAGAAATTTCAAAATGGTCCTTCATTGTCCAGCTGCCATTAATTCATTTTTGTCCCAAAATTTTGATTTTGAGTATATACACACACAGAAATAGTATACCATAAGTTTGATACTATAAATTAAAAGGGAAAATGAAAAAAATAATTTTGTTTTATAAAATTTAATGCTTATGCACCTATTTAGAAAAAATCATTTAAAACAATGAAAAAGAGGGAATAATTATTATATCAATATATATAACAAATATGTGCCCTAAAAAGTTTTCAGTTGCGAATTATTTTTCTATAAGCGTACCAAACGGGGAAGAAGACTTGCCTTTTTTTGGGGTAAAGAAGACTTGCCTTTTGCGATGTGGCTGAAATGAAAAATAATCGAAGAAAACCCACAAGCCTTGAATGGTTCCTCGACCCTCACTGACTCTTTATCATCAATTGGACTTGAATGGTTCTAACTTCAATGCCGCTCAAACCGTTAAACAAGTTATAAATTTCTTGTTATTGGCTAGCTATCCATATGGTGATAGAGAAAGTAACACTTTTCTCCTCCCTTTGAATATACCTTACAATACACGTCACAAAATAATACCCATACAAGTATGAGAACATTGGGAAAAAAGATCTTCCATTTAAAATTTTATTTGTGTGAAAAACGTAATAATTTTTTATACACAAAAAGCACCGATATTTTTTACTTTGCAAATTCTGTACATACAAAATATCGGCACTTTCATTTAAGTCTTTTTCACTAATAAAATTTTGAATTCGAGACTTTGACCCAATTTTACAAAGAAATCATAGATGTATTTGATATTAGAAATGAAGAGGGAAAATTAAAAAAAAAATTTACTTGATAAGATTTAATGTTTATGCCCCTTTTTATAAAGAAAAAATATTTGAAACAATTAGAAATTGGGAATAATGATTATATCACTATAATAAATCCACTACAAAGTTCTCATTTACAGATCACTCTTCCATTAGCGTACCAAACGGCGCAAAAGACTTGCCTTTGCCAATTAATTATGATTGAAATGAAAGGGAAAC